CACACTTTTTTGGGTTCACAGTCAGTCCAGCAGTCTGAATCCTCTGCAGGACCTCCTGGAGGTGGTGGAGATGCTCTTCCCAGGACCGACTGTAAACCACCACGTCATCCAGGTAGGCTGCAGAAAACTCAGACACGTCACGGAGTACATGGTCCATCAGCCTCTGAAATGTGGCTGGCGCCCCCTGCAAGCCAAAGGGCATCACCCTGAACTGATACAGTCCAAAGGGAGTTTTGAAAGCTGTCAGCTCTCTCGCCTCTGGTGCTAGTGCCAATTGCCAATAGCCCCGAGATAGATCCAGTGTGGTGACGTAGGCCGCACTCCCCACACGCTCCAGAAGTTCATCGATGCGGGGCATCGGGTAGGGGTCAAAGTTGGAGATCGCGTTCAGGTACCTAAAATCAATACAAAAACGCAGAGAACCATCCTTTTTTGGCACAAGTACAACAGGGCTACACCATTCACTGTCTGACATTTCAATGATTCCCAGTTCTAACATAAGTTCAATTTCTTTTTTTCAAAACTGGCACCAACCGCTTTGGGATTCGGTAGCTCCTTTGTCTCTTTGGAGCATCCTTTTTGAGGCGGATCTGATGTTGGACCAGTGAGGTAAAACCGGGGGTCTCCTGAAAAAGATCCGGGTTAAGAAGCGGCCTTAACTCGTCCTGCTGAGAGGAAGAGAGGTGAGACAGGTCAATGGCACCAAAAGCTGCTGAGAAGGTTCTTGGCGGACAATAAACTCCTTCAGCAAATTAACATGAAAAACTTGGCGTTTTTTAAGTCTCTCAGGCATAAACAGTTCATACATGACATCACCAACTTTTTTAGTTACTTCATATGGTCCATGCCACTTAGCAAGTAGTTTGTTTTCACTAGTTGGTAAAAGCAAAAGTACCTTTTGTCCTGTTGTGAAGGTCCGGTCCTTGGCCTTCTGGTCATACCAAGTTTTCTGTGTGGTTTGTGCCGCTTGGAGGTTTTCCTGTGCCAGTGTTGCCATTGCCTCAAGCCTCTCCCTCATTTTGAGTACACAGGCCACCACATTGTCTCCTTCTGGCTCCCGGCGCTCCCTGTGGTCCTTGAGCAGGTCCAGGGATCCCCCCACCTGGCGTCCGTACAAGAGCTCGAAAGGTGAGAAGCCTGTTGATGCTTGTGGGACCTCCCGGTATGCAAAGAGCAGGTACGGAAGCCACTGGTCCCAGTCCTTGCCTGTAGAAGAGACAAACTTGTGCAGCATCGTTTTCAGAGTCTTATTGTATCTCTCCACCAAACCGTCCGTTTGGGGGTGATACGGTGTGGTCCTAATTCCCTTCACCCCTAGCAACTGGTAGACCTGCTGGAGGAGCTTTGAAAGGAAATTGGTACCACAGTAGGTAAGTATTTCTTTTGCTACCCCAACCCTTGAGAAGAGCTGCAAGAGACAGTTAGCAATCTGTTTAGCCTTAATAGATCTGAGTGGGAAGCCTTCAGGGTAACGTGTGGCATAGTCTGAAATGACCAAAATGTAACTGTTGCCTGCTGATCTCTTCTCCAGTGGGCCTACAATGTCCATTCCCATTCTCTCAAATGGAGTCCCAATGATTGGCAGAGGCTCAAGCTGGGCCCGAGCTACTCCCTTGCTTGAAGTAAGCTGGCAAATTTGACAGGAACTACAAAATTTTGAAACCTGTGAAACACATGCCCGGCCAAGCAAACCGGTTGCCAATCCGCCTGAGGGTCTTTTGAAAAGCCATGTGGCCTGCCTATGGGACTGCATGGCCCAGCTCCATTACTTGCACTCTCGACTTTTCAGGTAATGCTAGTGCCTCATTTTTGTCCTTGATCTGGTAAAGAATCCCATTTTTCATAATATAGTTGACTTCATCTAAGCAGCTACCTTTGCCTGTTTTGACACCCTCCTGCTCTTTGACTTTGTCCTAACCAGGGTTTAAGTGTAGGGTCCTCTCTCTGCAGTGCCCCTATGTCTGAGGGGATGCTGACATCCAAAGGACTAAGGGGTTTAGGAAGCTCCTCTTTCCCTTTCTGAGAGCCAACAAACTTGTCCCTTCTCTTTTGGGCCTTAGGCTTTTTGGCTTTGACAGGATGCGCTTCTAGTTCCTCATCACAAAAAGGCAGCTCCTCAAAAACACCCCTAGCTATCTGTGCCCTGGTGAGGACATTACAGGGTTTGCCAGGTTCGGGAGTACACTGTGCAGGGGGTTCAAAAACAGACTCTGAGCACCCACTATCTGCCTGGATAATCAGATCAGGAAGAGTGGGAATATCGTTACCAAGGACAACTGCAAAAGGTAAGTTTTTGGCTAATGCGACGGTAACCAGGTAAGTTTACCCCCAACTGTCAGATAGACTTCTGCTGTAGGGTAACTGTGCTCATCTCCATGAATACACACCAGTGGAGTTTGCTCAACTGACTGCCGCTCAGGTGGAACTAAGGAGGACCTAACAACCGTCTGAAAACATCCAGAGTCTAACAATGCCTCCGCCTGGTGGCCATTTACAAGCACTGGGGTTGTGCGCCCTAGTCTCTGCCCTGTCTGTAAGCTTGTCGGCCAAGGTACAGAACAAAGTAGGGAATGCTTGATTTTTAAAGCTGGGCAAAAGTACTGAGTATGACCAAGTTCGTTACAGTTATAGCATGTGATTTCCTGTGGTGGTCTAGCGGGCTTTCTCACTGGGCGAGACTGGTGGATCGATGACGCTGGCCTACTGTTGCTACTTCTACACTGGGCTGGACCACACCCATCACCCCCAAAGGACTTACTTGGCAGGGGCTGGTGAGGTTCTCGGCCAAAGTAGCTGGTTCTGGTCCCTTTCCGAGCAGATGTAAAGACCTCAGCCAGATGGGCAGCTTCCTCTGCGGTGGCGGGGTCGTGCTCCTTAATCCAGATCTCCAGCTCGGGACTGACCATCCGCAAGAACTCTTCCAGAATCAGCTTTTCACACACTTGTTGGATTATTATTTTTTCAAGCTGAATCCTTCTCATGAACAGCTCCTTCAGGCAGACATACAGCTCCCGTGGCGTCTCACCGGGCTCGATCTTCAGGGATCTGAAGCGGCGGCAGTAGGTCTCTGATGTAATTTCATATTTGGCCAAGATGGCCTCCTTCACCTTGTCATAGTCCTCCGTGTCTTTCATGTCCATGGCAACATAGGCACTTCGGGCTTTGCCTGTCAGCAGAGGTACCAGGCGAACAGCCCACTCTTCTTCTGGCCATTGGCAAACCTGAGCCATCCTTTCAAA